ACAATCCCCAACAATATATCTCACTCTGAAGTGCTGCCTACATCAATCAGTTCAAGCCGATATAAATGTTAGCTAGCGAGATATTGGCTTGCGAAAGAACAACGACTCCTTTCGCTGTATAGGGCAACCCGCGCCGAACATTCAGGCCGATAAATTTTACCCTGCGAAAGCGTACCAGCCCCTGTGCAACCCGCACTAGCCACAAGCCGAGTCTTGATATGATGGCTTGTGTGAGCAAAACAACTCCCGATATGGACACCTGAAGGAATGATGAAAGAAAGCTATCAATAAACAATACAACCGCAATCAACATTTTCAAATCCTACACGAAATTAGGAAGCTGGATTTTCGATAAATTAAAACAGACATGCAATTAAGCATAAGATTAAATACGAAATTACGAAGGATACGAAGATAGATTTTCGATACATGCAAACAGGCAACGCACCGCATCTCAAAACAAGCTGTAAAAGAAAAAAAACACCTGACCTTGGCAACTGAAGGTTGGAAAAATTGATTGATCCGACCGTCATTTTCTGCGAATTAGAGCATTCATGAAATGGATACGCACCCCAACTAAACGGAAACACTATCTAAAATTACTTGCGAATAACTTCGAGGTAAAACACTTGCCACAACGCATTGGATTTCAAAACAAAGGGATTATTAAAGTTTAAGATCAGAATACTACTCCAAATAACTAAACTACTATTTTCTAATTAAAATTTCTCAAATTACTCCAATTTTGATGGCACAAATGCCCGCACAAATGCCATTAGAATACAAATGAATATATGAAAGTTCATATAGTTGAGACATGATTGATCATTGCAGTTAGACACACAACTTAAGCAGTTGTGAAATTAAAGCCTAAAAAAATTTCAGGCCTGAACTGGATTAAGTTGTGTGTCTAACTGCGATGATCAATCATGTCTTCATGGATCCTTCATGCAAATGTCATTGTGTTTTAAAATGAGGTTGAAAAGTTTGCCTTTGAAAAGTGTTTAATAGAGTTGACAAGGATAAGTGCTTTAATAAGGTCGAAATGGTCAATTGATGTCTCACAGGTTCGTGTTTTCAGCATCCGGTTTTCTT